TGGTTTCAGCAAAAGGGCGATATTAGCATTATACAATGTGGATGGGAGAGACTTTGTATCCATGGAGTGAGAAAGCATTCGGAGGAGGAGTGGGGATACCTGTCTGGCAAATTTTTTGTAGAATTCTGCCCCAAAGCCATCCGGCCCAGGCGCTTTCCCATTGGTTAAAGAGCCAATTGAGTCTATTATTTCTTTTGCAGATATTGGAGCATTCAGGGCCTCACGTGCGGCATTGTCTAGTTTTGGAATGGTGACATCATTAAGCCATGCATCGACATCCCCATTTGCTTTTGATTTATACAGCTCTCGATAAAAGTCTGAAAAGCATTTATTTATTGTTTTAGGCAGAGTGGTGACATCCCCAGAACGAGATTTAATTCTGTGTATTGCCCTACTATTCTGTTGGCCTCTGAGTTGACGAGCCAACAGAGTGTGTGGCTTGTCCCCCATTTCAAAATACCGTAACCTAAGCCGGGACAGTTGATCACTCACTTGTTTCGTCAAAATTGTATTGTATTCATATTTAAGATTAAGAATTTCTTGTAAAGTAGTGTCATTGTTGTTCTGCCGATAGAGCGTTTCCAGTGCAGCCAGACTATTATCAATTTCACCCAATCGCAAAGTCTTTAATCTCCTCTGCCTTGATTGGTATGATATTATATGCCCTCTCATAACCACCTTAAATGTTTCCCACAAAATTGAATCTGATGTATCTGAAGTGTCATTAGTGAGCAAAAAATCCTCTAATTTATCTGATATATATTTACAAAAGTCTGCGTCATTCAGCAAATAAGGATGCAGTTTCCAAACATAATCCTGTTTCAGCTGGTTAAAATCTAGAGTAACACTTGCAGGGGCATGATCAGAAATCAAAATGTTATGATATTGACTGTCAATAACATTAGGAAGGAGCTTCGAATCTAGCAGAAAAAAATCAATTCGAGAGTAAGAATTGTGCAGTTTAGAATAATAAGAGTAGTCCCTACCAGTTGGGTTCTGTAAACGCCAGATATCTACTAAGTTTGTCGATGAAACAAGGGTATTAAGAATTACTGCTGCCTTAGATGGAGCGGATTGTTTTCTAGAAGATCTATCCAAGTGCCAGTCTAACACCACATTGTAGTCTCCAGCCATAATCAGATTAGTACTTGCAAGATCAGGTAATTTGTCAAAAGTTTTACGAAAGAAACCCGGGTCGTCAATATTTGGGCCATAGATATTGACCAATGTAACATGTGCAGAGTACAACTTACCTACTACTATTAGAAATCTACCATTAACATCACTTATTGTGTTCAAATGTTCAAAAGGTATATTCTTTTTTATTATTATTGCTACTCCACGTGCTTTGCTTGAGAATGTTGACTGAAATATCTGACCTGCCCAGTTACACCTTAAACGGCCTTGTTCAGATGGTTTGATATGAGTTTCCTGCAAAAAAGATATATCAGAGTGCAGAGATTTCAAATGTTTGAGCACTATACCTCGTTTAATATTGCTACCCATACCCCTCACATTCCAACTAACCATAGTTACCCCACCGGTCTTATTAAGTCTCGTCAGGATGAAACAATGAATAAAACATTCTCTGGATTGTGGACAAAAACATTACCCCATTAAAAATCACACACACACACAAAAACAGAAATGTACAGAACACGTACACAACACCCCCTTCCCCCCTTACCCACTTTCCCAAACAAAGTAGGTATAAAGCCCTGCCTACCATACTCCTTCCGGGGGTTCAAACAATACTCAGCTATATAAACTAACCAAGCTGTTAACACTCTTAGTCACCAGGCCCAGCCTGCATCCCGCCGATAAAACTTAAAAATATTAAAAAATAAAAAGCCCCCTTACCACAATTTACCGTTTGAATTAGTCATTGGGTCAGATGAAAGAACATTAAACTCACAAAGAATGGAATAACAGAACCTAACATATGTGATAGTGAGCGTTCGTTCAATAGAGATACCCCAGTGCTCAAAGGGCATTCGTAAATACTTCCCTTTGTACCTGAGAAGTGTCCTTTCTCCTTTGGCCTCAAAATGTCAAAAAGAAAAACTAAGAGGAAAAGGCCGATTAAGCTCGGTCCTAAAGCATTCTTCAGCAATCTACTCTTGGTACTAGATTGTCCGCATAGAGCTTCGCCTCCTCCGGTGTGTCAAACGTGGATGTGACCCCGCCATTGGTAACCCGCAGACGAGAGGGAAAGATGTAGCCCGTGCGAAGACCTGCGGCCTTTAGCTTCTTTCTGGTATCCTCGAACAGTTGACGACGTTTCCAAATTTCAGGTGGAATGTCTGGGAAAATGTGAATACGCTGCCCCTGGTACACCAAAGGAGATTTTTCCATTGCCAGCCGCATGATACGCTCCTTGGTGCAGTAGCTATGTAACCTAGCAATCATAACCCGGGGCCTGCCAGCCACACCAGCCCGGAGGCTACCTAGCCTGTGAGCACGGTCCACTTCCACAGGTTTAACGAAATGTTCACGACCAAATAAAGCAGGCATCAAGTTAGAAACAAAGTCAGCAGCTTGACCTGCTTCCACGTTTTCAGCCAAACCAACTATCTTTATATTTTGGCGTCTGGAGCGTGCCTCTAGGTCGATAACTTTGTCCTGTAGTGCCCTGTTAGCAACATCTAGCCGCTTAGCCAGCTGCTCCACAGCATCCAGCCTACCGTCGTGGTCCGTGGCCATGTTCTCCACCGCCGAGAGACGCGTCTCATGCTCATCTAGAACGGCTTGACAGGCTTTCATCGCAGCGTCTAGAGAGTTGAATCTGTCGTCCATTTTTCGGCTCATCTCCTGGATAGCTGCGAGCACCATCGCGGTGTCTGTTGTTGCGCTAGCAGATAGCTCCACTAGCCTCTCATGCTCGTCCTCCACAGCTTCTTCAGACGGTTTTTTCGGCCACGCTCCCTTCTTTGGCGGCATTTTGTCACTGAGCCGTGCAGTAGCGACCCAGGCTAAATCACTTACTTTGCGATAAAGGTGCGTTTTACATTAAAACTCGATTTATCGGACGGGAGCCCTGCTCAGCACGTCTACTCTCTCATGTGCGCTCTAGCGCCCCCCCAAATAAAAATGATCTTGTTTAAAAAAGATAAAAAATGTGTCCTTTGGAGCGACAGTTCATGAATAAAACTAAATTGTCTCGTTGGAGAATCTCGTTTTAATTCAGAATGTGCTAAACAAAATAAACACTTGACTCAAGCCTTTATGACCTCATATTTTATCATTTTTTGCAGTGTTGGTGTTCGTTGTACATGCTGATTTCTGATGGAGTCACCCTCTGCTTCAGGGTCCTTTGTGTGTGTTTTCTGATGTGTTGTGCTCTTTTCGTGTGTGTTGCTGCTTTTGGGCAGACCTGTTGGAACTGCTCCAGGTTTTGGTTGTAGCCAACTGGATTCTTTTGATGGAGGAGTAGCTGCAAAAAGTGCTGAAAAATAGTTCAAAAAGTCCTCCACTTTGGCTAAATGTATTTAACTTTGAGCACATGGGACGACCAAAACTATCTTGATTTGAAAATACAGCAACAGTTCATGAAATATGTCTCGTTGGAGAATCTTGATTTATCCAAGCCCCGGTGATCCAAGATGGCCCCTGTTCAAATGAATGGTTTGTGCTCAGTAGGACATGGGACTTCATGGAGACCGGCCCATATTTGAGTCTGGTCCTCCCGGTTCTGTGCAGTGGACGAGCTCCCATGATGCTTTGCGCCAAACGTGCGTGTGTGGCTGTCATGCACGTGCACAGAGGGGCTCGGCCTTTGACCAATCAGAGCTGATCAGAGCAGCAGCAGGGCGGAGTCAGAGCGGGAAGGAAAGGAGCAGAGTTTGTGGCAGTAAAGTGTGGATTTAAAGAAAACCGAAGGATTTAAGAAGAAAAAAAGTTCAGGACGACAAGGGCGGCACGGTGGCTGAGTGGATAGCACTCTCGCCTCTCAGCAAGAAGGTCCTGGGTTCAAATTGGACCAGGGCCTTTCTGAGTGGAGTTTGCATGTTCTCCCCGTGTCTGCGTAGGTTTCCTCCGGGTGCTCCGGTTTCCCCTACCACTAAAAATATGTACAATAGGTCTGGCATGTGCCTCCTGTTCGGCGACCCTGCTCCCATCTCTGTGTGGAGTGAGAGACAAATGCCCAAAAATAGTAACAATTGTAAACCGCTTTGAGACTCTGGTCTGTGAAAGGCGCTATATAAATAAACATTACTTACTTACTTACACTATAATCCCCACAAAATCTGATCTTTATGAAACCTGTAGGTTCTCTGTCAGGTTCTCTGTAGGTTCTCTGTCAGGTTCTCTGTAGGTTCTCTGTCAGGTTCTCTGTAGGTTCTCTGTCAGGTTCCCAGTCTTCTCTGTGGGCTCTCTGTAGGTTCTCTGTGGTTCTCTGTCGTTCTCTGTCAGGTTCTCTGTAGGTTCTCTGTCTGTTCTCTGTCAGGTTCTCTGTCAGGTTCTCTGTCAGGTTCTCTGTCAGGTTCTCTGTCAGGTTCTCTGTCAGGTTCTCTGTCGGTTCTCTGTCAGGTTCTCTGTCAGGTTCTCTGTCAGGTTCTCTGTCAGGTTCTCTGTCAGGTTCTCTGTCAGGTTCTCTGTCAGGTTCTCTGTCAGGTTCTCTGTCAGGTTCTCTGTCAGGTTCTCTGTCAGGTTCTCTGTCAGGTTCTCTGTCAGGTTCTCTGTCAGGTTCTCTGTCAGGTTCTCTGTCAGGTTCTCTGTCAGGTTCTCTGTCAGGTTCTCTGTCAGGTTCTCTGTCAGGTTCTTGTCAGGTTCTCTGTCAGGTTCTCTGTCAGGTTCTCTGTCAGGTTCTCTGTAGGTTCTCTGTCAGGTTCTCTGTAGGTTCTCTGTCAGGTTCTCTGTCAGGTTCTCTGTAGGTTCTCTGTCAGGTTCTCTGTCGTTCTCTGTCAGGTTCTCTGTGGTTCTCTGTAGGTTCTCTGTAGGTTCTCTGTCAGGTCTCTTCTCTGTCAGGTTCTCTGTCAGGTTCTCTGTCAGGTTCTCTGTCAGTTCTCTGTCAGGTTCTCTGTCAGGTTCTCTGTCAGGTTCTCTGTCAGGTTCTCTGTCAGGTTCTCTGTCAGGTTCTCTGTCAGGTTCTCTGTGTCAGGTTCTCTGTCAGGTTCTCTGTCAGGTTCTCTGTCAGGTTCTCTGTCAGGTTCTCTGTCAGGTTCTCTGTCAGGTTCTCTGTTCAGGTTCTCTGTCGTTCTCTGTCGTTCTCTGTCAGGTTTCTCTGTCAGGTTCTCTGTCAGGTTCTCTGTCAGGTTCTCTGTCTGTCTCTGTGGTTCTCTGTAGTCTCGTAGGTTCTCTGTCAGGTTCTCTGTCAGGTTCTCTGTCAGGTTCTCTGTAGGTTCTCTGTCAGGTTCTCTGTCAGGTTTTCTGTCAGGTTTTCTGTAGGTTCTCTGTCAGGTTCTCTGTAGGTTCTCTGTCAGGTTCTCTGTCAGGTTCTCTGTCAGGTTCTCTGTCAGGTTCTCTGTCAGGTTCTCTGTCAGCTGAGGTCGAGCTGTTTTAATTTACGTTGAGTTCTTTGGGACTTTTTTCTGTGTAGCCCACGTGAATGTAGTCTGCAGTACCACAGCGCCCCCTGTGGCCATGGGTGGGACAGCTTTAAGTTTGTAATACTCTGTCCAGTTATTATTATAGATCCATGGTTTTAACCCTACGCACTCTTGCTCCTATTGACCAACATTGAAAAGTAAACTACTAATAATAACAACAACAACAACCACTATGTGTTTGTTATTATTACAATACAACTCTAAAATCCCAGTGGGAGAAAATGAGAAACCTCGGGGAGAACCACAGAGAGCGAGGGATCAGGTTATAGATCCAGGACTTAGGCTTAGAACGAGTACCGAGGCTCTGCTCTCTCTCTCTCTGCTCTCTCTCTCTCTGCTCTCTCTCTCTCTGCTCTCACTCTCTCTGCTCTCTCTCTACTCTCACTCTCTGGTCTCACTCTCTGGTCTCTCTCTCTACTCTCTCTCTCTGCTCTCACTCTCTGGTCTCGCTCTACTCTCTCTCTGGTCTCGCTCTCTACTCTCTCTCTCTGCTCGCTCTCTACTCTCTCTCTCTGCTCGCTCTCTACTCTCTCTCTCTGCTCTCACTCTGCTCTCTCTCTCTGCTCTCTCTCTCTACTCTCTCTCTACTCTCACTCTCTGGTCTCTCTCTACTCTCTCTCTGCTCTCTCTCTCTGGTCTCGCTCTCTACTCTCTCTCTCTGCTCTCACTCTCTGGTCTCGCTCTCTACTCTCTCTCTCTGCTCTCACTCTCTGGTCTCGCTCTCTACTCTCTCTCTCTGCTCTCACTCTCTGGTCTCGCTCTCTACTCTCTCTCTCTGCTCGCTCTCTACTCTCTCTCTCTGGTCTCGCTCTCTACTCTCACTCTCTGGTCTCACTCTCTGGTCTCTATCTACTCTCTCTCTGGTCTCTCTCTCTGCTCTCTCTACTCTCTCTCTGCTCTCTCTCTCTGCTCTCTCTCTCTACTCTCTCTCTCTGCTCTCTCTCTCTGGTCTCTCTCTACTCTCTCTCTCTGGTCTCTCTCTCTGGTCTCTCTCTCTACTCTCACTCTCTGGTCTCACTCTCTGGTCTCTATCTACTCTCTCTCTGCTCTCTCTCTCTGGTCTCTCTCTACTCTCTCTCTCTCTGCTCTCTCTCTCTACTCTCTCTCTCTGGTCTCTCTCTACTCTCTCTCTCTGCTCTCTCTCTCTGGTCTCTCTCTCTGCTCTCTCTCTCTCTGGTCTCTCTACTCTCTCTCTCTCTGCTCTCTCTCTCTGGTCTCTCTCTACTCTCTCTCTCTGGTCTCACTCTCTGGTCTCTATCTACTCTCTCTCTGGTCTCTCTCTCTGCTCTCTCTACTCTCTCTCTGCTCTCTCTCTCTGCTCTCTCTCTACTCTCTCTCTCTGCTCTCTCTCTCTGGTCTCTCTCTACTCTCTCTCTCTGCTCTCTCTCTCTGCTCTCTCTCTCTCTGCTCTCTCTCTCTGCTCTCTCTCTCTCTGGTCTCTCTACTCTCTCTCTCTGCTCTCTCTCTCTACTCTCTCTCTCTGGTCTCTCTCTCTACTCTCTCTCTCTGGTCTCTCTCTCTGCTCTCTCTACTCTCTCTCTGCTCTCTCTCTCTACGCTCTCTCTCTGCTCTCTCTCTCTACTCTCTCTATCTGCTCTCTCTCTCTGCTCTCTTTCTGGTCTCTAGTCCATTATAGTGAGATTCCCTCTGCACTGTTACTCTAGAATACTTTGAATATCTTAAATATCTCACATCTTCACGCCTCGGGCTGAGATTCTGGCCAGTTTCTCTTCTGTATAACACTCGCCGCCATCTTCCGTGGCGCCCGGTTGTTGCTCTGGCAGAACACGTCCCTGATGGTCCAGAAGCGTGAGGTTTGGTTTGATCGGAGAGCAGGAGATGATTCTACAAACGATGTCCAAATGTCCATCATCAGAGCGATTCACAAACAGATGAGGCTTCGGCAAGGACACTATGGGGAGACAGAGGAGATAAAGGACACTGGTTAAAGCTCGGGTACGTAACTTTCAACCCACAACAATGAAACTTTGTAATGAAATCTATGTCACTAGTTCCTGGTTCTTGCATCATGTGTTTTTGGTCTTTAAATCAGCTTTTTCTGACACAACAGTTAAAAAGAGAGGACCAGCCTCACTCAGCCAATCAGCTCTCAGCCCAAAGAGTCAAATAGTGACTCACAGGGCTCTTTTGTTTAAAAAGCATAACTTGATATCTGATAAGAAGAAGACAGCAGACTGTGGTCTAATTAGAAAATTTTACTTGTGAGGAGCACAGGGACTGGACTCCTTCCTGCTGGGACAGTGAGGAGCACAGGGACTGGACTCCTTCCTGCTGGGACAGTGAGGAGCACAGGGACTGGACTCCTTCCTGCTGGGACAGTGAGGAGCACAGGGACTGGACTCCTTCCTGCTGGGACAGTGAGGAGCACAGGGACTGGACTCCTTCCTGCTGGGACAGTGAGGAGCACAGGGACTGGACTCCTTCCTGCTGGGACAGTGAGGAGCACAGGGACTGGACTCCTTCCTGCTGGGACAGTGAGGAGCACAGGGACTGGACTCCTTCCTGCTGGGACAGTGAGGAGCACAGGGACTGGACTCCTTCCTGCTGGGACAGTGAGGAGCACAGGGACTGGACTCCTTCCTGCTGGGACAGTGAGGAGCACAGGGACTGGACTCCTTCCTGCTGGGACAGTGAGGAGCACAGGGACTGGACTCCTTCCTGCTGGGACAGTGAGGAGCACAGGGACTGGACTCCTTCCTGCTGGGACAGTGAGGAGCACAGGGACTGGACTCCTTCCTGCTGGGACTCTGATGAACGCGTGCGTCACTGGTTGACGTCAGGCCTTTAAAGCACATGTACGTACAGAACATTCTGCGTGCAGCCTTAGGTTGGGTTTCACTTTCTAAACACCACTCAACACTACGGGCACACACACGCACACACACACACACACACGCACACACACACACACACACACACACACACACACACACACACACACACACACACACACACACACACACACACACACACACACACACACACACACACACACGCACACACACGCACACACACACACACACACACACACTACAGGCTTTCACACCTCATTAAAATATGAACTGTGGTTTCATTAAAGGTCCCATATTCTGCTTTTCACAGTCTATTCTAAACTTTTCTTTCATTATTCTTCACTTTGGATCCTGTGCTTACACATGAGTCCTTAGTAAAATAAATAATAGCCATTTCTTGTGCCTGTGAGCCCGCCTCCAGCCACATCCGGCACATTCTTCGTCTTTGTGCGTCACATATTTACATCAGAAACACATTTTCTCTAAGTTGACATGATGCTAACACTTTTAGTCGCTGACAAAGCAGAAACACAGCATAGAAGCGAACACCGACAGTGGTAGATGCAGGTCCATACGCTGGAAAAGGCTGTGCACGCTAATTGGCTGTTTTGGTTTCTCTCTCTCCTGTCAATCATCTCCTGGAGGCGGGGCTTCTGCAGCTCGCGCTACGACATCACTGTAATGCTGTTTAAAGCAGAGAAAAGTGTTCTGTCTTTTCTATTGAGCCGGCTCGGACAGCCACTGTAAACCCTGACAAGTAAAGATTACTTGAAAAAACCATGGAAATAAATTGCATATTAACTTCACTTGAATTCCTCGAGTACATCCTTCACTTGATATTACCAAGTAAACTCAAGTGATTGCAATAAAGTTTAAATTTCTACTTAAGTTCCGACCGGGATTCGTACTCAGTACCCTGTAGTTGAGAGGTAATGGTGCTACCCACTCAGCCACCAGGCCACCCTGCCACTGTCACACCTGCCTCATTAAAGATTCTACACGTCAAAATGTCAAAAGTGAGGCTTACTTGAACAGAAACAGTTCAATTCAAAGAAAACCCTGAGTGACATAGGCAAGCTTTAAATAAACTAACGATAAATGAGTAATATTTACTTACTGGGAAAAATCTATTTAAAATAACTTTGATATCTGAAGTACGATTGAAGTTAGGGTTTACAGTGTCATGGTGACAGCAAACATTACAGCGGAACAATGGGAAAGAAACAAGAGCACTCAGGTTGCACACACCAAACAGGATCTAGTTTTTAAGACCATGAGCAATGACAATGAAAAATAAGAGGAGGCAGCATCACGAGGTATTTACAGATGGTTGGTGTTGTACTTCAGCAGCAGAGACCAATATTTCAATGTTTTATTCATGAAAATCACACAATTCAGAAACTTTGAGGTTGTGTCTTTGTGACACTGTGGAAAACCCTCCGAAGCAAAGTTTATTGACGAGGTCTAAATACACAGGGGCTCAGTCATTTGAATCAACCTTGAAATCTGAGTGTGTTCAGTGAGTTTGAAGTTGCGTAGAGGTTTGTGTAAACTATGGTATGAACCGCAGACGCAGAGATAATCTGTGGGAGTGGCGTCAATCGGAGATAACTCTCAATAACTTTACTGCAGCTGCACGGCCTGATACTCTTAGGGCACGGTCACATAGGTTTTTACAAACGAACTAGGCCAAGTGGCCTGGATCGTCGCCACAGGGAGTGAAAACGGCCCGCGGTCACAAGAGCGTCTTTTCGCAAACGTGCCAGAGTAACTGTGCTGTAGTACAACGCTCGGTCCAGCTGGGGGCGCTAATACTAACTCCAGCAACTACCTTGTTCTACGAGTTAAGATTCCGTTTCTCTTCCTGTTTACGTTCTGCTACTGTAGCTAACAGCTACTGTAGCTTACAGCTACTGTAGCTAACAGCTACTGTAGCTCTCACAGAGAGAGAAGCCTACAGCTCACAGAGAGAGAAGCCTACAGCTCACAGAGAGAGAAGCCTACAGCTCACAGAGAGAGAAGCCTACAGCTCACAGAAAGAGAAGCCTACAGCTCACAGAAAGAGAAGCCTAGCCTACAGCTCACAGAGAGAGAAGCCTACAGCTCACAGAAAGAGAAGCCTAGCCTACAGCTCACAGAGAGAGAAGCCTACAGCTCACAGAAAGAGAAGCCTAGCCTACAGCTCACAGAGAGAGAAGCCTACAGCTCACAGAAAGAGAAGCCTAGCCTACAGCTCACAGAGAGAGAAGCCTACAGCTCACAGAAAGAGAAGCCTAGCCTACAGCTCACAGAGAGAGAAACCTACAGCTCACAGAGAGAGAAGCCTACAGCTCACAGAAAGAGAAGCCTAGCCTACAGCTCACAGAGAGAGAAGCCTACAGCTCACAGAGAGAGAAGCCTACAGCTCACAGAGAGAGAAGCCTACAGCTCACAGAGAGAGGCCCGTGCGGTGCTATGGAACTGTTTCTCTGTTTATGGTGGTTTACAAAGTTCAAACATATTTTCTTTACAATACGATACGCTAGTTTCGAAACAACAAAACTAGCGGTAAACTTTTCTCTGGTCTCTCTCTGGTCTCTCTCTGGTCTCTCTCTGGTCTCTCTCTCTGGTCTCTCTCTGGTCTCTCTCTGGTCTCTCTCTGGTCTCTCTCTGGTCTCTCTTTCTGGTCTCTCTCTGGTCTCTCTCTGGTCTCTCTCTGGTCTCTCTCTCTGGTCTCTCTCTGGTCTCTCTCTCTGGTCTCTCTCTGTTCTCTCTCTGGTCCCTCTCTCTGGTCTCCCTCTGGTCTCTCTCTGGTCTCTCTCTCTGGACTCTCTCTCTCTGGTCTCTCTCTGGTCTCTCTCTCTCTTGGTCTCTCTCTCTGGTCTCTCTCTCTGGTCTCTCTCTGGTCTCTCTCTCTCTGGTCTCTCTCTGGTCTCTCTCTGGTCTCTCTCTCTCTGGTCTCTCTCTGGTCTCTCTCTCTCTGGTCTCTCTCTGGTCTCTCTCTGGTCTCTCTCTCTGGTCTCTCTCTCTGGTCTCTCTCTCTGGTCTCTCTCTGGTCTCTCTCTGGTCTCTCTCTGGTCTCTCTTTGGTCTCTCTCTCTGGTCTCTCTCTCTGGTCTCTCTCTGGTCTCTCTCTCTGGTCTCTCTCTCTGGTTTCTCTCTCTGGTCTTTCTCTCTGGTCTCTCTCTGGTCTCTCTCTCTGGTCTCTCTCTCTCTGGTCTCTCTCTGGTCTCTCTCTCTGGTCTCTCTCTCTGGTCTCTCTCTCTGGTCTCTCTCTGGTCTCTCTCTCTCTGGTCTCTCTCTGGTCTCTCTCTCTGGTCTCTCTCTGGTCTCTCTCTCTCTGGTCTCTCTCTGGTCTCTCTCTCTCTCTGGTCTCTCTCTGGTTTCTCTCTCTGGTCTCTCTCTCTGGTCTCTCTCTCTGGTCTCTCTCTCTGGTCTCTCTCTCTGGTCTCTCTCTCTGGTCTCTCTCTCTGGTCTCTCTCTCTGGTTTCTCTCTCTGGTCTCTCTCTCTGGTCTCTCTCTCTGGTCTCTCTCTCTGGTCTCTCTCTCTGGTCTCTCTCTCTGGTCTCTCTCTGGTCTCTCTCTGGTCTCTCTCTCTGGTCTCTCTCTCTGGTCTCTCTCTCTGGTCTCTCTCTCTGGTCTCTCTCTGGTCTCTCTCTGGTCTCTCTCTGGTCTCTCTCTCTGGTCTCTCTCTCTGGTCTCTCTCTCTGGTCTCTCTCTCTGGTCTCTCTCTCTCTGGTCTCTCTCTCTGGTCTCTCTCTCTGGTCTCTCTCTCTGGTCTCTCTCTGGTCTCTCTCTCTCTGGTCTCTCTCTCTGGTCTCTCTCTCTGGTCTCTCTCTCTCTGGTCTCTCTCTTCTGGTCTCTCTCTAGTCTCTCTCTAGTCTCTCTCTAGTCTCTCTCTAGTCTCTCTCTAGTCTCTCTGGTCTCTCTCTGGTCTTTCTCTAGTCTCTCTCTCTGGTCTCTCTCTCTGGTCTCTCTCTCTAGTCTCTCTCTCTAGTCTCTCTCTCTAGTCTCTCTCTAGTCTCTCTGGGTCTCTCTCTCTGGTCTCTCTCCCTGGTCTCTCTCTGGTCTCTCTCTGGTCTCTCTCTGGTCTCTCTCTCTAGTCTCTCTCTCTAGTCTCT